CTTTGGAACAGACACCTCTTGGCTGGGCTGGGCTTGGATGTTCTCATGCTGAGTAGCTGGCTAGGAGTGACTATGTGGTGACAGTATTACATTAGATACCTCTTTTTAAATTGTATGATAATACTGTTTCGGCTTTCAAGTTGACTGTCTTTCCAGCTCACAAATCTGATTATTCTATGTTGCAGTGCTTTAATAAAATCATCCTGGGGTAAACTTGAAGTTATTTGTTTTGAGAAGCTTATCAGGAATGAATTTTGGTTTTATTTTTAGAAAGCAATATTGAGGATAATGAAACACTTAGGAGGCCTGGACCTAACTTTGATGAAAATATTCAGTCTGATGAGTTATGTCTTGATCATGAACGTTTTCCTGGGGCTGTGTTTCAACAGGATTACCACATGCCTGATGTCATAACTGTCAGAGTAGAAACAGGTAAATGCTCTTTTTGCAAAAATATTGATATATATAATCTTGCTCTAATCTCGATGTGTTACCAAACAAAACAATTTTTGTATTTTTAACTTCCATTTTAACAGATTCTGATTCATTCCGAGAAGTAGTTGTAAAAGTTGAAAGACCTACCTATAACAAACCTTTTCTGGGTGGATTTAGGAACATGGTAACAGGAGTGGAATTTCATAATGCAGAATCACAAACAAGACCCAAAAAACGACCTGACAAAGGAATTCAGTTATTTTGCAGGGAAACACAGGTAATGGCTTTATAGTGTCTTATTTGAATGCTGTTTTTTGCCAAATGGAATCGAATGTTGACACTATTTCTGATAGGAAAGAGGAAATAGATCAGAAATAAGTGTGCAAATATTTAGTGGATAAAAATCATTAGTATTTTTTGTATTGCAAATCTAATTTTTTCACTTATTGTAATGAGGAAAAAAATCTATGTGTATTTTCTTATAATCTGACATGCATTTTTTTCCCAGACAGTTTTGGTAAAAAATAAGCCACAACAAACAAAAAATACAACATCAACACAGATGACTAAAATTGGCCTGTATGTGTCAAACGTGACTGACAAACTAATAAGTCCTGGAAAGTATGTTACAGCAGAAGAATACCATAAACGAAGACTTGAAGCAGTAAGTCCTCATCTCTTTGAAACTCTCTGTAAAGCAATGTATTGCAAAGGTTATCTGAATATTTAATGAACATTCAGAGTGTTCAAAGACTGAATTTAAAAGTGAACTGTAAGATGTCTCCTTAGCCTCACATTTTGTAATCTTTCAGATATGGGGGAAGCAGGTGTTTGCTCTGTGGTTTTAGTGACATTTCATACCTTGCGATTTCTTAAATATTATGAATTCTGGATTTATTGTATTCTGTCTTACAGTGACAGTTAAGTTTCCACGTAGAGCATTAAGGATTAAAACAGATTTGTCCCTATGACATTCTTATGACCTCTTTGGAAGAACCTAAGCTACATTCTTAATGTATGGCCTCAAGTGGATGGAGTATTGGGTTAGGATTTAGGAAATCTGCATTCAGCTTTTGGGTTTTATGTTCTCTGTTTATTTTTTGTTTTAACAGACTTGGTAGGTTACCTTGGGCAAACTGACCCATTTTGTATTCTGTTCAAGCTCCCTGCTTTGTCATTAAGGTAGAACCAGGCTGTTCAAAGACATGCAATGGGTCTGTGGGATTTTCTGGTGCACAGTTGCTTCATGCAGGCAATTCTGATTACAGATTCTGTATATTCGTTGTGCTGAGGATGCCATTTAGGCACTCCAAATTGCTTTTTGGAAACCGTGTATTCAGTAACTGCACATCTGTATGCCCTAACTTGTGTTAGGTAGGGCACTGCTTTGTAAAGGCTCTAGTTATTAATTTGATTGCTTGAAATAGGCAGTCTGAATCTTACTGAATGGAGAAACAGTTGATTCCTCGAGTGTCTAAGTAGGATAATTGAATTGATAATTGTATTGACACGGTTGGTAAGATCTTTGAAATCTTCTGGGTATAAGTTTTCTGTAAGAACTTCTTAAATTGGTCAGCAAGGGCTGATGGCAGTAAGTGTCTTAGGGAAGTGGAATGCAAATTAGTAACATTTCCTCAGGACTACCAATATGTTTTACTGTGATCTTTAGTACCTCTTACTGAAATCTGTAATGTATCTATACATAATTTATAATGCACAGTAGAGAGACATCAGCTTGGTGTTGGTTCAAGTTGATGGATTCGTACAGTGCAGTATAGGTTCATACTGAAACACTAGCTGAAGACATATTCAAGAAGAGTGTTATGTTAAGATATCACTACAGTTAAGATATCACATCACAGTGTAACTGTATTAGCATGACTTTGTTCTTGAGAGCTTTCTGTGCTGAACAACACTTATTAGCTTGTGGTATTGATCTGAATAATCTGCCTGTAGTGCAAGTGCTAACTCAGCTGGCAGAAGCTGAGGCTTGTGCATTATCCTCCCATAACATATTGTAGACATTTCCCAGGTCTCCAGTAGCCACAGCTTGGGAAGATAGATGATTTAATTTTGTTGTTTTGGGTTTTTTAATTTCTGTCATAACATCATTAGTAATTTCACTTTCATTATTTGTTTGCAAATAAAATGCAGTTGATTTTGTGTGTCTGTGATGATTTTTGTCTAGAAATGTAAAAGAAATTTTTCAAATATGTGCCTACATTCCCACTATGTAAATTGATAGCAAGATGAGGAAGACAAAAGAAGAAAAACAATACATTGCAAAAGACATTTTTAAAGGGGAGACTTGAAAAAGAAAAATGGATATTTAAATGTAGTTTATATTTTGACTTGATTATTTGAACCTAGTTTATCCACTGTACTCAGTGGTTAAACTCCTGCAGCTACCTAAATGCATAAGCATACTAGTGCTTAGACTAGCAGTACATGATTGATTTGGTAATCAGTCAAATAAGTTTCAGTACAAGACAAATCTTAGAAAATATAGTTAGGCAGCTAGAACAAAGAACAGTTAAGAACAAAATACTCTGCTGGTTTGAATTCACAATTCTTTGGTATTTTATCACATATAGGTAATAGTATTGCAGAAATACTTCCGTCGCTGGCATGCTATAAATGTAGTACAAAATCTGAGGGAAGAAAAGAGGTTAAGGCTGGAGCAGAAGGCGCAAGAAGAATTGCAGAGAAAAAAGGTGAAAGAACAAAAATTGAAAAGCGAGTATGAGCGAAAACGGAACCCTAAAACACAGGAAGACTTTGAGCTGCTATACCATGACTTGGAATGTAAGTTGTTCTTAAATCAGCAGAATAGTACAGTTTGTTTAAAACAAACTTATGTTTTTTGCATGTTTCTATAAATAATTCTGTGATTTTTTCCCCTTACAGTGGAACTTCTTTAATTTAAAAAAAAATATTTTACTTTCATATATTACTAGAAACAGAAAAAAGGTCTAGCTAAAGGCAATAGCTAAATGTCTCTGTGTTATCAACTTCCAGAGCACCTTACAAGCTACCATGATGAAAATTATCTCTGTTTCAGCCAAAACCAGTACACCTTTTTAGAAATAATCAGCTCATAGAATAGTGCTATTTGGCAGTTTTATTAATGTTTTTTTCATTTATGTCTAATGTTAAGGTCAGCTAGAGGAACTGAAGTTATTTTTTAGATCAGAGTTACTTTGATCTTTTACTCTACATTTAAGATGCTGCAAACAATTTCATGAAGAAATTACTATTAAGATCCATAATTCATCATTTGATATAGACATATTTTATAATGGATTAAATTTCTTCACAGAATTTTACAACATGTGACAAGAGTTATTCCTATTGTCCTAGTTGTCTTCTTCTGATGCTTTTTCTCCTTTCTAATTCATTCCATGTTTCACAAAACTGTGTTGTCAAAATTTAAAATAACTCTTTGGAGTCCTAAGGGACATCCTGAAAGTCATCCTTTTCCTGTTTCTGGAGTGGATGATGTCAAATACAGGCAAACTTTTCCAGAAAAATAATGTAAATGCTGCAGATAATTGGCATAAAACCTTACTGGAAACTAATGTTGTAAATAGCACAAGACCCCTAGAGTATGTCCTTTTGGAAAAATAAAACAAGTCAGAAGCAGTGGATTTGTCCCAGCATGTAAAGAAACTGCAAGACCTTTCTTTTACGATGTCTCTTTTAAAGGAACAGGCTTGCACTGAGAATTGTAACAACTGTTAGGTTATCTAGGCTGCGGAGCTTGCTGATCTAGCTCTTGGCAGTTTGGATATTGTTGTCCCTGTAGCAGAACTGACCTAATGGATTACCTTCTTCATTGAAAAGCCACCTGCCCTACCTTAAACCATCTCAGCTATTTCTTCCATGGTAAACTGGGCATAGATTTCACAGCATGTCTTATTCATAGAGCTCAAGAATTCCCCAGTTACACACTAATCTTTTAATGCTGTCATACTTTGTGCGGCATTGCACAAATTGCTTTGTCTGAATATATAAATGACTTATAAATATCACTGTATTTGACAGATGTAGAAACTGTTGCTTGTCTTGAATGTTAGAATTGTGGTAATGGTATCTTCATGAGATTTGAGGTTACTTTGGGGTTGTTTCCACCCTCTCTTTTTCCTTGTAGGTAGCTAGCTTTTCACTTCACAGGAATCAAGCCCTTTTAAAGGTGTGTCTGACTAGGTAATTGAAAGCCAAGGCACTCAAATAATATTTTTTCCTTACTGCTTATGACAAATCTTACTATTTAGTATCTGATTACCTGCAATATATTCTGTAAAAAGCTGCTTCTTAGCTAATATGACATCAGATGTATGATCCACTTTTTGTTGTTCTTTTTGCTGGAAGTGTGAAGTGTATTATTTGCAATAGAAACAACAAAGCTGAGTTCAAGTTACAGAAGAGTGCTGATATTCACGATATTTTTAGATTTGAAATTTAAGTGCCTCTTGCTTCATTTAATGCCTTTGGATTCATAAATAAAACTTTCAGCTATGCATGTTCAGAAAGTTCATAGCTAGACAACCTGCAAAAATCATGTGCCACTTCAAAACAGAACAAACTCCAGTATTTGAAATGTCTTTTTAACATCTGGTATGAATCGTATTGTTTTGGTTTTGTTTACTGGTGTTTACTAGTTGTTTCTCTACATGGAGATTTGCAGTCATGCTCTTCGTTTTAATGGAGCTTAGCAGTTCTAGGAAGTTGTTGGCTTTTTCCTACCTGCATCTGAAACTACTTTTACATTCTTACAGTGCCAACAGTCTATGCAAGCTAAATCATTGTGACAGTAATAGAATGAGACTATTGTCCTCCAGGGATCTGTGAAGGTTATTGCTGCTGATCACAACAGGGGTACTATTACAGGGTCAGCCAGTACAAGCAATTTCTGGTGGTACAAAAACTTGCCTGTTGAGTGTATGGTGCAAATCAGGTGTTTGCGTATATTCAGTGTGTCTGCATATAGGCATTCATTATTTATTTGAAAAGTATGAACTACATTGTTTTATGAAAGCTGAAATAAAAATGGTAATGAGTAAAATCTAGGCCTGTAGAAGAGATAATTTAAGAGGAAGGTTTTATCTTGGTGTATGTATATGCAGAATCAGAAGGTGAGCATTAATTAAAACTGACAGTTTCTCAGTTTCTGAAAATATAAAATTGCTTACTCTGTTTTTTAGCTCTACATTGGAAGTTGCTGCCCTCTTCAGGCATATAAAGCTTCCTGTAAATTAATTCTATACAATGCTTTTGTTTGCTGAAATGGTTTTATTTAAAAATATATCTTTGGGTTCTCAGAACTTGTCAGAGAGCTGTCATATTAATAGCACAGCCTGGAGAGCCTTGAGGAAATGAATTGAAATATTTAAAAATGGAAAACATAAGGTATTGTAGATAAGGAAGCCACAGGCAGAAAATAAGCCTTCCTCCTTTCCCTCCTCCTCCCTCTAATCTTACCTGATACAGGATGTTAGAGGCTTTTTCAGTGCTTCACATATTGGATTGTTCTCTTTTACGCTGAGTTTTGCTTTTGCATAACTGTTCTGAGAGGATAACAACACTTTGAGATATTATTCAGCAATGTTGAAGTTTTGGATCTTATAAAATTCCCTACAAAACTCCAGAGGTATTTGAACTGGATCAGACTCTTCAGAGAAGCCGAGAATTGTTACAACATACACAAAGAAAGACCCTATTCAGTAAATACAGTTTGATTTTACTCACAGGTATCTCTAAAGTATGTAGTCAGCAGGAGAAGGCCAGATTCTTGTACAGCATGTGCTGCTGCCATCACCATCCTGTGGCTTCCATGCCACTTCCCTCCACAGGAAGGGTTATGTTGTAGAAGAGGAAAGGGAGAGTAAGGCAGTGACTGTGTGATTATTAATGCTCATCCATCTGCCTCAGATAGCAAAAGGTGATACCCCTGCAATATCCAGTGTAAGAGCTGAGTGCTAAATGTGACTGTCAGTCAAGTTTTATCTGGATTTCGGAGGAGTTCAGGGTTCTTTAGATTTTATTCATTTATGCAGGGAGGAGCAGTAATATTCTCAGCACTGAGTATGAGTAGTACCACAGTAAGATGCAGTCTTTAATGTGCTGAGATCTCCATTATGCCTTTTCTTGCGACTTTGGTGAGTAGTTGTTTAAAACGTTCCTATTGCTCATACCTTTCAGAGCTATTTGAGCCTCAGATAGTTACTTTAGATGCAAAATCGTGAAGAAATCATTTCATCCCACATTTCCATGGGAGCTAAATTGTTTTTCTCACATAGAGCATTTTTCTCCTACCCATCCATGAGTTTGGAGTATGAATTGGCAGTCTGGAATTGATGTACACACACATACTCTGACAGAACATCTATACAATTTGCATTCATTGCTGGGCCATTTTGCATGTATTGAAAATATGGATGACCATGAATTCCCTAACATAGAATGGCTTTTAGTGAGTGACTTGGAAAAAAGTCAGTTATTTTATTTCTCAAATGTGAAAGCAGAAGTTTCACTGGAAATCATCAGGTAAAATAAATACCCCAAATATTTTTATCTGCAGTATGGCTGCAGGTGGAGACTGAGTGGATTAACAGAACTCTTACTGGAGCTGAAAGAAAGGCAGCACTTTGTGCACTTCTGGAACAAGAGGCAAAGCTGATTGCTTGCATCGGGAGACACAAACTAAAGGCACAGAAGGAGAATGAACAAAAAGCAATACTGCTCTTTCTGGATAAGGTCAGTGATTAGGCTGATCATTTTAGACTGAACATAAAGAATGCCAAAGTACAGGAACAGAAAATATACCTGCAGAGTATCAAAACTACCTATTGCAGTAAAAAATACACACTTAATCCTGTGAATGCTAATGTTCTAAGTATCTAAATTATGTAGTTGTTCATGTCAATACAATCCAGGAAAATTTTTTTTCAAGCTGAGGATTTCTTAGCTCTCTGACTGATGTAACCATACATCATTAAGCTTGTTAACTATAAAATATATATAATAAATATAAACGTATAAAAAACCAGCTCCAGCAGCATACGTGTTGGTATAGATAGTGGCCTAACTCAGAGGCATAAAAAGTAACAATTTCTGCATTTTTAAAAAAGATAAAATATATGTAATTATGGAGATCTCAGAATTAAATGGATGGTTTGTTATGATTGTAGTAGTGCAATTTAAACACTTTTATTGCAGTATGAAATTTGTTGTTGGAGCACTAGATTATGGATTATTCAGTTATTTCTTAAACTTTGATCTGATAATGTTAAACTGGACACTTGCCAGTGGAAGCTGGAAGAACACCTTTCACATCTGAAGACTACAAGCTGCAATAGCCAATGTGATATGAAACTTGCTTCTCCATGGAAACCTTTGTTCCCTTATTTGCTACTTTAAGCATGTACCTCCTCAGGCATGTGTGCTTTTACAAAGGTTGCTACTGGTTGTGTGTGCACCACGTTCTAGGGGTTCTTTTTTATGCTGAGCTCGTTCTTCTTCAGCATTTGTACTTTGAAGAGGAAGTATTTGATTAATCTTTTATGGAGCAATCATATTTTCTTAAAAGAATTTGAGTAATTATTAACTGTCACTCAATTCATACCTTTCATGCTTTGTGGTATTTCTTCACACAATCTATGGGGTTTTTTTAAAATTTTACTTACCTTTTTCTCTCTGTGTCTATGCTGGTGACTTTCTCTCCTCAGGCGCTTTCTCTGCTTTCATGCACTGGCAGCACAGTGCAGTTTTAGTAGTCCTGCTCTCTGAAGTAATGCAGATAACAGGATTATTGTAAATTCCACAGCACTACCAGCAGACTAAAAGACAAGAAAAAACTGGCAGAAGATCTCAAAGTTTTAGTTTTTTTCACATCAGTCTTGAGTGCAGAAAAATAGTACTGAAGTCTGTAAGTCAGTTCTGAATCAGAGAGCTCGTGATTCTTTCTGAAATATTGGAAATATTCATATTGATGAGACCTCTGTTTTGTTCAGTAAAAAGCTGCTTTTTAAAAATTTTTTTAATTATTTT